TATCTGCTCAATGCGTATACAAATGTAAACAAATGACGTCATACATTATGAAATGGACAAAGTCCAACAAAAAAAACATAAATAAATGTCTTAAAAAAATTATTTTCGGACTTTGTCCATTTCATAATGTACATATATATATATATATATATATATATATATATATGTGTGTGTGTGTGTGTGTGTGTGTGTGTGTGTGTGTGTGTGTGTGTGTGTTTCAGGTGGCTAAAAGACTCGTTCTGGTGTTTGTCGTTAAATGTCATTAGGAATGTTGATTTTAAGTTAACGTCATTCAGAAAGTTCGCTTTTTTCTTGCAAATACTTATCTGTATACATTTTCATAATATTATGGAAAAAATAGCGTATAAGTGTTTGTTGATTGAAGATGAAAGAAAATAATCAATAGTATGGATTTTATCTTAAGAAAGTAAAAATGCAAATCTTACAATTTATGAAAAAGGTAATGTAAATAATCAAACGTGTCAAAATTGGTTTGCAAAATTTAGTACTGATCTCTGAACATCGCTCGAGTAGACGTTGAGAGCAATTAAATAATCACTATGAGAAAAAACAACGTGATGTGTCGTTGCAGATAAACGGAATATAAAAGCAAAAATCAAAAGCCATAATGGCAGACATTTGCAACAAATTAAATTCATACTGGAATTAAACTTACATAGATAAAAAAAAGAGATAAGAAATGAAAAAAAAACACTGCCATAATACTTGTTAAATGGAACGATGATTAAAGACAGAGGCACTTTTATCATTTGTCAGGACAGAATTAGATTTCAAACAAGGTTACAATTAAAAACAAAACCATAAGTTGAAAGACCACTTTTTATCTTTTCTATTTAATTCAGTCGTATTGTTCCGTGTTTTTCAACTTTCACTCTTTCTCGACATGAATTGTATAAACCTCTCTTTGATGTTTCATTTATATCCGTCCAATTTATAAAAATTAATCAGTAGAAACAAAATCGTAATCACAGAAATTGTTTTGGAAACACCGCTCTTGCCGAACTACATCGACGCAAAAAGAATAATGATATGTTATAATTGAAGTGTCATTTGGCATTTATTAATTATCCTGGCTTCAAGAAGCTATTGTTTGAATGGACATAATTCCGTACAGGAAAAAAATTGACAAAAAAAAGAATATATTAACTTCTCACACGTACACACACAAACTTACGAACTTCTATAAAGCCAACACCTGAAATGCAGTGTTTAAAAAAGTTAAATTGACGACGTTGTAAACATACAAATGTCTTCTAAAATAGCTAGTACTAGCATTAGAGCCCGGCGTTGCTCGGGGATGTAACAGTAAGAGATAGATCAAGTATCGACCATCATAAAGACTGAAAAATAAAATTGACAAAGATTATTGTTTAAGGTTGGCGGACACGCATGTCTTAATTAGTTTTTTGTTTTGTTTTGTTTTTTTTTTACGAATTATTTAAACCCAAACTCAAACAAAAACATTGTTTTCAATCGTTATGAATTCTACCGATTGAATAGAATTTTTCAATTTTATTATATACAATTGTCTTGTAAATGGAATTTTTAAAGCATTCTGAATGTAAAAATAAAGAAAAACTATCTGCCAAAAACAAAAAATGAAGTTTTGTTGAAATCGGTTGAAAAATGTAGGAAATCCGATCTCATATATAAACGAACAGATACACACACACACACACACACACACACACAACCTGAGTTTTTTAATAAGTATGATTTCATAGAAAGATATATTTACAAATACTAGGAGCCTCTACTGTTTGTCTCAAATTTCTTGATAAAATCCAGAGACGGATATTCAATGCAATTATCCCTGATCTGGCATCTCGTCTACAGTCGCTCTCTCACAGACGTGCCGTCGCCTCCATCTGTCTTTTTACAAATACTTTCATGGTAACTGCTCCGATGAGCTGCTTTCGCTGGTTCCCAGACTTCGTGAATTTAAGCGCTCAACTAGGCTGGCATCTCGCTTTCTCGCTCTTACCCTTTCATTATTGAAACTGTTAAATGTAGCCGTCTCTTCTACAATAGCTTCATATCTCGCACTTCTCGCCTGCGAAACTCCCCCCTTTTTCTATAATCTCCAACTATTCAAATGTAATGTCGACCGATGTCTCCAGATGACCTGATGTATCCCCTATCCTTCTTTTCATCCTTTCTTCTATCACTTCTATTTGCTCTCGCTCCAACTCTCTGTAACCCCTTGCATGCTAGTGGCTTCCTCTATCTTGCTTGGGGTAAAACGCTTAAAAAAAAAAAAAAAAAAAAAAAAACTAACCGGAAATCAGGAAAATATCAGAAACACAGAAAAGGTGAATAAAAAAAATTGACAAGAGTTTGTGTTTTTTAATCAAACATGTATTAATGAAAAACTGTTGCCTACATACACCCAATACGTATACACTACAGTTCAAAAGCTTGAAGCCACCCCCAGAATTAACATGAAGTGACCTTGAAGAGTGAAAAAAATGTAAAAGAGCTCTTAGAGTCATTTAAAAAAGAATGGAATCAATTATCAAACTTATAATTTGAAAAACTTTTGCAACGAATGCCCAAAAATTGTGCTGCAGTAATCAATGTTAAAGGAGGATATTTGGACGAGAGCAAAATTTAATTATAAAATGATTTTTTTCGTTTTGTCATAATAAAATTTCTAACAAAAATTTATGTCTCACTTTTTTTAACTATGTATAATAATTTTCTATTATTTAAAGTAGAAAAACTAATTTGGGGGCCAATTTAAAAAATTATTAGGGATCGCCTCAAACGTTTGAACTGTATATATATATATATATATATATATATATATATAGATAGATAGATAGATAGATAGATAGATAGATTGTGTGTGTATTTAAGCAGCAATTTTAATACTAAGCAAACAGAATATAATACTGCTTCAACTAATCCCAAACATATTAATCTCTTATATCGTAGTCAAATGCATAGTAATTATAAACAAGATGAAAATATACTAAAAAATTAGTAAATACTAATATATCTACAACAGATCCTAGCAAAAAAAATAGGTTAATCATATACTACACTAAATCTAGTATATCCAACTTAATTATTTGCAATGATTCTTCCCCGCTCCCCATTAACAATTTGCAAAAAAACCAACATAGTTTACAAATTCAAGTGCCCTTTGGGAGATTGTATCTCCAATGGATTAAATAATAATTATGTTGGTTTCACCACAAACTCACTTTCACGACGCTTGACTATACATTTGAATGATACCTCTAACATTTTAGGCATTTAAAACAACATGTCTGGCGGCGTACACAATTCTGGAAAATCCTTGTTGAACACACAACTTAAACATGAAAACAATAAACAAAAACTAAAAATTTTTGAACCTATATATATGAAACTTAACCTGAACAAAATAAACTACGAAATCTCTTAAATGCCTATAATTGATAACAGAAGCCATTGGTTTATATCAACGGCTTCCCATACCTAATACTTCTCGTTTTCACTTTCGCGTGGTCAGGTGTGACGTCACGAGCTGCGATACGATTTTCGCTGCCGCGTCTCGTATACACGATGTTAGTCGTTGCTTTGAAATTTTTCATGCAACAAAAACAGACTAACATTATTGTTTCGTCCGTGTATTGGTTGATATATTGAAAAGTAATTGTCATCTTTGATAATGGCTTACATAAGCCGAAAGCTTGGATTGGATTTAAACATGTATCAATATGGTAGTTTCCTTTCGTCTTTCAACGATAATGTTATTAAGCTGATCAGACAATATGAAAGGAACTTACTTAAAATTAATAGACAAAACTTGTCCATATTATTTAATATATATATATAACATGTGTGTGTGTGTGTGTGTGTGTGTGTGTGTGTGTGTGTGTGTCTATAGTTGCCTATTTGCTATGTCACGTTCAACACGACTGACAAGGCAATTTTGTTTAGAATATTATCCATTACACGAATCGCACATCCAAGCTTTGGTGATCGTACGGGAGCGAGAGGTGTTATTAAATGAAATTATTGTATAAACGTAGGAAAGAAAACTAAGTACAGATAATAAGGATATATAGGATAGTTAACGTTTAACCTAAGACTTGAAGGGATTGAAGAGTGTAGTGTTCGGGGAAGCATCCCTTTGGGAGTCTGTTCAATGGAAATCTGCCCGATGTCAACGGTATAAGCCCATCTCTACTTGCACTGATCTACTGCCAATTATTTTTTGAAACAACCTTCCACTGTTACCTCCCACCCTGAATAAATAGACAATGTCTTCTAATATTAATTTACCTGGTTATAGAAATGTCTGCCAACTAACTGTTAGATTCATTGTCAGTCTTGACGAATAGACGCTGGTGAATGTAATATTCATGATTATACTTTCATATTGGAAGTGACTTCAAGAAAATATGAACAAAGACTCAATATATATATATATATATGTGTGTGTGTGTGTGTGTGTGTGTGTGTGTGTGTGTATGTGTTAATTATCTGATAACATGGAGTCTAGATGGTTAAAACTGGGAAGAAAAATATCGACCAAACATCATTGGATATAAATGAGGTATTTGTTTCCTGTCTCTGATAGAGTGACCTGTCATATAACCCCTGCTGAAAACTTAACGTTTCATGCCTAGGGCAATTTGAAATCATCGTGAAAAGACTGATATAGGCGTCTTCCTTCCAGTGTGTTGAACGAAATCTACTTGGACATCTGGCTGACGAACATTTAACCGAATGGACATTTTCGGTGAAATGTTCGTTTTAATTAGTAAAACTAGTATCACTAAAACCAATATTATCTCCCCACAACACACAAAAAAATTTTTTTACAACCTAAAAATATTTTCTGGCTTTAAATAACCTACAACGGGTTGATAAATCGTAAAAAAACGAATCAGTCAATCAATCAATCGATTGAGTCTTTGGCAATGTTTGGTTGAATATTTAGTAACAAAAAAAAGGATTAATGTGAAAGTATTATTTAAGAATCCCCCGTACGATCACTGAAGTTAAGCAATGATGAGTCTGATCAGTACCTAGATGAGTGACCGCTTTGGAATACCAAGTGTTGTAACTGGATGTGCGTGTGGTGTAATGCATAATGGCTCAGAATTGTTAATCGGAGAGTCGAGTTCCATTTCCCGTTAGGTTGGTTATATTCACTTCCCTTACACACTTGGGAAAGTATGAATAAAAGTCTTCTCCTCCCAGCTATGGATTAATTAGTAAGACTTGTATCATTAAACCATTATTATCTAAAAGCAAACTTCTTACAATCTAAAAATATTTTCTGGCTTCAAATAACCTGCAACGGGTTGATAAACCGTAAGAAAACGAATCAATCAATTATTTCTGATTCTGTGTCCTTTTTTTCCATTTTACTTTACACTTCTTCGTTGATTTCGTTGATTAAGCGCTCAGTTTATGGTATTCTCAGCATCCTTCTGTAGAACCACATTTCTGTTGTCTGCAGTCTTCTCTTCATCTGCGAAGAGATTGTCTAGCATTCGTTGTCATATACAAGGTGCCCACTAAAAAAGCGGGAAATTCAGAAAGACGTGAGACAACCGTTGGAATCTGGTGACGATTGATGTGACTGAAAAATTCCAGAAGTTATTTCTGCACATTTCATCAATCCCCAAGGCGTATATACTTCTTTGGAAAATACGATAACTTGACGCTCAAAATCAGTGAGTTGTTTAGCCATACGAGTAGGGCAGAACGAAAGACGAAAGTTGCCTACAAATAACCTTTACATGACGAGTTACAAGATCGAGCAGCAATTAAGCAATCACAAGAGAACCAATCGATGTGGTGCAATGATTAGCAAGCTTGTCTCGCTAGAACATTTACGACTGAGTACTGAGTTCGATCCTCACTAGGTGACCCATACTTTCGGCCTTGTGCCACACCTAAAAAACGCTTTGAAAATCACCATAAAAGAACCAATGATCCATTACACTACGTCGAGGTACCCATAACGTCATTTTTAAAGCGTTGTTTAGATGTGACACAAGGCCGAATGTATGTGTCACCTAGTGAGGATCAATGGCGATGGTTCGAGGTAATGCTTTCTCCATCATTGCGACTGGAAGAGGATAGCAAAAAAAAATTGTTTATAGTTTCTGGAATTGTCATCAATGGTCAACTGAACTTGATTTGTTTCAATAAATCTATTGTTTTCAATCAAAGAACTAATCAGAGTTTAGCAATTACACGAGATTCGAAGAATGATTATTCAAAGTAAAGAAATTTATTCAAAGCTATTCAAGGTTAATTATTCCGGAAAGATAAAACAGCGATAATAAATTTGCCGCCTTTTTTTTTATTGGTCAGCCTGTAAAAGGTTTAATATTGCATAGCAGTTGAACACTCTTTGTTTCTAACGGTATTTTACTGTTTCTTAATATTTTGTTTTTCGAAGACAACTTTTGCTATTTCAATGTTCTTTCGCATTTTGGTATCACATTGACTCTCTTCTGTTAGAAGATTTCCAAGATATTTAAACCTCTGTATTTATTTGATTTGGACATTTTCAATTCGTAGCACTTATCAAGGGTTGTTCCGCTTACTCATAACCATAACCCTTCTTTTCGCAGCTGATGGTCAGTCACTTACCATTTTCTTTCACCCTTTTTCGTCTAGAAGTCCTTTCAATTTCTTTTCTGTGTCTATCATAAACACGGTGTCATTCGTATGTGTTATTCTTCTTCTATATGTTGCGTCTCTTCAGAACATAGACGATCATGGCTCTCCGTAACTTCCTATCAATCATGACCCTTAACATTTTATATCCATTTACTAACACCCCTGCCCCGTCCCGCCATCTGTTCACAATAGCTCGCCAGATAAGTGGCTTGCTGCCTGACTCTGCTTCCCTTGTCAACAAAATTGTCCAGAAATTAGTTGGTTCCAGCGTTTTCGGTTAAACTGTTCGTTTTTTTTTTTTTTTTTGTTTTGTTTTTTTTTTATATTCTGTCAGTGAGTTAAGTGCCTTTCGATACATGACTGACGAGACAGATTTTTCTATCAGTAGGTTGACATTTCTTTCTTGCTAACTCAGGCTATAGAACCCAGTCTGTCCTTCTATTTAACCCATAGCTGGAGGGGAGGAAGAGATGGATTCATACATTTTCCATTTATGTGCGTAAGTGAATCTAATAAACGCGACTGGAATTCGAACCCGGCTGTCCGAGTTCTCACTCTGAGCCTGTATCCAATAAACCAAAAAGCACATAATTTCTGTGTAATTGCTGTTGGAGAAAGTATAATAATTGCTGAAAGTAGATATATTCTTCACTTCCAAATATGACCAATACTTTGTGGCCGTGTTCATAATCTGATGTAATGAATATGCATACACCTGGGTTCCCCCTCACAGTAATATGATTGGCTGGTGTCAGCCATAAATACAGACTCATGTGGAGGTACATGGACGACGCCTATTCGCCTATTGCCTATGCCTATTGCCTACCACTACGACGAGGACCAGTCCATTACGGTTACCTGCTAGATTGTCTTACTCGGTTACAGTAGTCAACAATCACTTTGCTACTTCGAACAAATATATCCCTTTCCGGGACATATCATAATCAATGTTACTTTGGGTTGGTTATGACAAAGTTTCGGTCGTTGTGATCTTTATTCAGTGATTTTACTCCACACAAGGCAATGAAGCCCCTAAGATGCAAAGGGCGTACTGAGTGTGAGAGAATATGAGAAAAAAAATTATTAAGGAGAGAGAACAATAAAAGAACAGGAATTAAAAAGCCAGAAGATAACGATTAAAATTGTTTTTAAAATTTAGAAGATCAAAGTTTACTGGAAAGCAAGAAGCTGTCACTTTTTCACTGTATAATTAAACTTGTTAAGTATTGGATATGAACTACAGAAAGTCAAATAAAGAAGTTGAATTGTATCAATTTGAAAATAAGGGGCTAAGTTCGAATTCCAGTTGGGATTCTTAAATATTACTTTCACACTAATACTTTTTTACTATCTGTCTACAACTCTGAGATAAGGTATTATGATTACTTGCATTATTTGCATTATTCGGGCAGTTATCCTCATCTTCATTGCCATATTCACAACGTTTCGGCCTTTATACGCTCCGGCCTTCTTCAGGTGAGGATTAAGTTTTCCAAGACCACCCTCCTTATTATGCGTCCAAGTAATTTCAGCTGTCTTTTTCCTGATTTTGATTATAAGTTTTTTTTTTTTTCTGTTGCTATTTTTTTCAGACTTCCTTGTTGCTTACTCGCCTCGTTCATGACATTTTTTGCTGTTGTTAAAATTATGCCCATCAATAATAAATGTCTATTCTCATTATCATAATATATCATTTAAATTTCAAAAAATGTTTCTTTCTTTTGAATAAACTGAATCCGCCGATTTTACCAGTGTGCTACAATAAAACTGCGCTTTAATTGTAAATACAAAAAACTGGATTTAAGATTAAAGAAAATACGAAAAGCAGTAGAAACAGTGGCTAATCGCCAGATAAACAATTAACGTACACTAGAAGATTTCCTGTAGCAGTATAGCTACACTTTCCTTACATTAAAACAGTTTTTACCTGCTTCAGCGGGGGGTAATTCTAACCTTGAACAATCCGAGGAAATACGGTAGCGGCTTGTCAGGCGAATATAAAGCCTCGCCCAAAAAGTTGGCCTCGATTGTTGTGAAACACGCAGTACATAAGATAACGGTGCACATCTCTCTCTCTCTCTATATATATATATATATATATATATATAGAGAGAGAGAGAGAGAGATTTTCCAAGCGTAGCTTAGATGTAGCACAAGGCCGAAAGCATGGGGCACCCAGGGAGGATCGAACTTACTACTCAGTCGTAATTGATCTAGCGAGACAAGCTCGTTAACCATTGCACCGCCTTGGGTCACCCAAGTAAAGTGATTTTCTAAGCAGTAAGTACGCTGAAATCGAGCCCTCCAGTTCGATAACATCCTTCCTGGCAAATTGACTATGGTGAGATTCGAACCCGTGTCTCATGATCAGAATGAGAACATTCTAACCACTCGGCCATGTGCCCATGTTTTTTGCTTTTGAAAATAATGTTAATTGTAGAGATAAAAGTCCTATATTCCGGAAAATATAACCACGTCAATTTCAATATTTCCACCATTTTCTTTTTTGTTGCTATAGGTCAGTTTTGCTTTCTTCGGATATTTTTATTTTTGATAATATAAAAGAAAGAAGTATTTCTTGCATTTGACATTAATGCTAATTGTAGAGATAAAAATCCTAGATTATTCTTGCAGAAAATATAACCACGTTCATTTCTAAATCACTTAAATACTTCCGCCAATTTTACAATAAATGTAAACAAGTATATACAAGAAAAATGAAGATCTTTTTTCTCTTCATTCATTATTCCGCTCGTAAATTTACTTTCAGTGCAGCTAAAACAGAAAAGAATGCAACGTTATTTTAGCATTGTTACAATAATACTATTTGCATCGTTCAATTTACTTTTTCTCTTAAGTTTCTGATTCTTTCGGATATAGACGAAATCCAGCGGATCTAATTGCCTTTTCATAGCAACTTCGAAAGATCTAAAAGGCAGAATATCCTAATGGTTGAATTCTACTGACATTTAAAACAAAACACTCTGAGCAGCCAACGAGTAGATTCACTGAGATATCCTCGCATTCTCCGTAAAGATGTGTCAATAAGATCTCTGCTTGATAGTAACAGTTTTAAAGGTCATCTTCGAATCATTATTGGAGCTCCAGCTGCAGAACAACCTTACTCATTTTATCCGTATTTAGTACTCCACTAATCCGACAAACACTAAAACTGATCTTAAAAAATATGCATTAGCGTTCTTATGTATCAAGTCACGCCAAACAAGTTTGATCTTCATAGCACACAATTCCTTATTCAAAATCCCGTAGGAAAAATATTCAACTTCCGGTTTGATAATAGAGAGATAGATATGAACAGACTGAGATAGATAGATAGATAGATAGATAGATAGATAGATAGATAGATATGAACAGATTTAGATAGATAGATAGATAGATAGATAGATAGATAGATAGATATGAGA